TAAGCCACGTACACCTAATGTATCAAAAAGCCAAGTTTTGGATGTGATGTACAACCTGCCATTGAAACACATCGGTACTGGGGATTGAACCCAGAGCCTCATGTAAGCTAGGTATAGCACTCTACCACTGAGCTACATGCCAGCCCTGAGACCCATCTTACACAGAGCATGGTGCTGATGTACACCAAAAGCTGTGTGATCATCTCTCCACAGTATAGAGCTAGCTGACATATTTGATTGGCTTGGGACAATGTTTACCTGATCTATGGAAAGATTGTTCTTAAATTTCGCATTTTCTTTTAAATCTAGAAACATAATAATTGGGAATTTGTAAGTTAACCTGGGAACAACAAAATCAGACCCAAACAAATCTATTCAGTCCTAGTTTTTCAAACTATGAAAAAATCAGTCACTCTTTTTCTTTGGTCTAATGAAGTGATTAAGACACCAGGAACACAAGTCTCTTGACCCCAGTCTTAACAAAAAGGCATAAAAATCTCAAAGCAATTTTTATTACTCTGTATGCTTCATGAAGGATGATTAAGAACATCTAGAAGGCAAAGGACACGGTACCACATCAGGATGGTTAATTTTATATCAACTTGACTAGGCCACTGCACCCGGATATTTGGTCAAACATCAGTCCAGATGCTGCTGTGAGGGTACTTTCTAGATGACAATACAGTTCAATGAGTAGATTTTGAATGTGAGTGAAGCAGATTACTTTCCATCTTGCAGGTAGGACACATCCAATCAGTTGAAGACCTTAACAGGAAAACACTGCATTTCTGGGAGGAAGAGGACATTCTTAGCAGACAGCCAGAGATCCAAACTGCAACCCTACCTTGCCCATGCTGGACTTGTCAAGCCTCCACAGTTGCATGAGACAGTCTCTTAACATACATCCCTCCCCATAACCATCCCATCAGTCCTGTTTCTCTGGAGAAGCAGACACTGAGATAGGTATTACCAATGTGTACCAACACTTCTGGTTTTTTTTCCTCCTGAATCCATAGGATTGTACTTTCCTAAAAGCTCAAAATTTAACACTGGCCCTGAAACTTGCTTTGGATATTCAGGTGTCGCTTCTAAGCCAAAGCACTTAAGGGTCCCGGAGCAATTCTTTATGTGCTCCCACTGTGGCAGCAATACCAAAACCTTGCACTGAGATGGTGAAAACATCAGGTCTCTGTGTATATGGAGCATGAATGAGAATTGTGTTGTTTCAAACCACTGAGATTTGAATATTTTAACACCATTTGGTGTGGGGGGCAGGTTGTCCTGTGTCGCAGTGACATCTAATCAACTATACATATTACAAAATTTGCAGTTTTTTTAATAGGGCTTCTATTGGATGTAAGTCCTGAATAGTGGTTTGAAATACTGTATGTACTTGATGGTAATAAAACCGTTTCTCTAAAATTATGTTAATTTTTCACAAATTGGTCTTGCCTTTAATCCAATTATAGGTATAATATTTTGCCACAATGATCAGCATCCATTCCATTAAAGCCCAGAATACATGGAGTTCATAGGGATTTTAACAGTTTTGGAAAGTAGGCCTTGAAAACTGGTCTATCCCCACTATTTCAGGGTTTTGTGATTTTATGAAGTTCTAGAATATGTCCATCTTTCTATCTGCCATAACTCTGAAATTATTAAGAATATAAGGAGAATGTTCAATACTGCAGATGTATCAAAACTGATCTTCAAATAAAATAACATCCATTGTGACTGTTCAGTTTAACCATAGAAAATCTGGCTTGTGCTAGATGGGGAGAAAGAGAGTTAAAAATAAGAGCTGAACCACATGGGCCTGCATAAATAGATGGAAATAATTAGATTTCAAAATTATCCAGTCCTGAATTTATCTAGAATTTTAAGATAGAAACATACAGTTAAGGTGATCAAATTGGAAGTATTCAGATTTTAAAAAGAAGTCTGTTTTGGTCCAATTACATGTAGGACCACTTTCCCACATAAATATGTAAACCTAGAATGGAAACTCTATTGCTTCATTGTACGTGAAGGAGGTGAACAATGTCATACTTACTTTTCTATCCCCACGAGGCACAGCAGTGTCTGCCTACAGCTGTTGTTCATTAAATGCTAAACTGATTTCTGCCACTCAAATCCCTACTTGCTGGCCACCTCCCCTACCTTCTAAAGGAAGGAACAGAGCAAGGAATGGTCAGGGCTATCTCCACTGTTCTCTCCCATGTGGAGTGGATCGGCTCCACTCCTAGTCTTGCCCCTTTGGATAACTGGCTCCAGTGGTGAGTCAACTGATCTGTCAACATCAGCGACACTCACGGTTGCACTGCCATGTACCAACAGGCAGCAGCTACTGGAACTAAAGTAGCTACTGGATATTCAGACTCCAGAGAGGTCATGGCTAACACTGCACCTCTTAGGAGTCTAGTTCAACAACCATCAGGGCAACCTCACTAAGGGCAGTCAGCGGCATGTTGCCGAGCACCAAGCCTCCTGAAACAAGGTTGGAAGAGAGAAGAATTGCACGTTGTCTCTCTTTCATCAACAATTTCTTTTTGTGGAAGAACAAGGGTTGAAGCAATTTGGCTGTGAATTGCAAGGTCATTGTGTGGGCTGTAATCTGCCTTGGAATACAAGTGTGAGCCAATACTCTCGAGGGTCATTTGCTTTAAGGACAAAGGTCAGTGCAACAATAAAGGTGTTGTAGGACCACAGTCAGGAAAAGTCTGGATCCTCAGGTTGGAACACTGTACTGAGGTCACCAGAGAGTCAGTGTGCTTATCAGAGCCCATTCCCCTCTTGAGGTTGCTTCTGTGCTTAACATGTAGATTACCACAGCCTCCAGGGTGACAAGCCTTACACACCAAGTGGATGCTACTGTGTTTCCAGGCCTTAAGGAATCCCTTAAGCATTTGTTACTATTTGCCACATAATTAGAAAACTCCTAGCATGCACTACATATTGACTCAAACAAGAGGCTCAAGATGTAAACCATCTCTCAGTAACATTCCCTCCCTGAATGCTGAGATGGAGAACATGAAAATCAGACCACATGTCTGCCATCTGTATTTGTACTTGTCAACAGCTCTGTTTTGGGATAAACAGTTTTGAAATAAGAATCAATTCAACTTGTTGGAAGATTAGCCAAGGAATAGCTCAAAGACCAAAACAGAATGTGAAGTCAGATAGTCTAAAAATCAAACACAATTTTGTTTCTCACTAAACATTCTGTTTTGTCACAGCCCAGGAGAAGTGTGGCAACCAGGGTTTGAGGGGGGGTAGGGGGCACAGAGACAGGGAGAACATATTTAGTCAAGTGAAAAATTCTTCAACCTAGAACAAATGTCTTTGCTTTGCTGCAATTGGAAATCATTCACTGACCTCTAGGAGACTACAGTTAAGAAAAAAGTAATTTTGGCATTTGTACTTTGTTTCACAGTTCTAGTACTTGAAGGTATACCTGGGAGACAGCTTGCGCTGGTCCAAGTGCATAATGCAGCCTTTATTACCATAAAAATGGTAGCATTTCCCAAAGTCAATCTTGATTAAAAGTAGTTCCATGGATGAAAACACTACTTTACCACAGAGCTATTAAACTGGAGAGATGGCAAGGGGAAAATAAAGACTCATATACTGAAGGGGAGGTCAGGAAAGAAGTTAGCAAAAATAGGATGCTAGATTGGTGGGAGATAACAATGGAATTGCTTTTAGAGGTGGCTGATGTGAGTGAAGGGACAGTCACTTGGCTGGCCCACATACTCTACAAAACAAATGAGAACATGTGTCCTCCACGTGGAGGGACATCCATTTTCTCCTTAAAAGAAGTCATTTATAAAAGAGCAAATTGGTGATTTGTACTTACAAACTGGACTCTTTTCAAGCCCCTGTCAAGAAGTGATAAATTATTGAAGCAAAGTATAAAGTGTTTTATTTTCCGTGTACACACAGGAAAACCTGGTGAAATGTTTCTGTTCACCTTTCCTGAGTTATTAATTTAAAAAAAAATGTTTCCAATTATTCTCTGATCTTCAAAATAAAATGGCACAAATGCCACACATGTCCCTCCAGAGCCAGCACTCCTTCCCACCTTCCCCCCTCACACTCCCACATCCTTCAGCCCTGCAACTGTTTCAAATTGCACCTCAGCTCCAAACAGGGATGCTGCTGAGACTGGGCAGGGAGGGATGCACGCTCACACAACTATCTGGCGTCCATTCAACCACAGCACCAGATATATTTATTATTACTAGAGACAGAGTGGAACTATTCAGAATACAGCAGGGTGGGGGGAAGCTCATTAGTAATTGTGCAGATGCCCTCAGCAGGAGTCACATAATCCAGAGATACTGCCTTTTGCCAGGCGATGTGAAAGCCTGGGGTTCCTATCTGGGACAACTTCACCCTTGAACACAGCTCTGATTTTAAAGAAAGTTTTCCCCAAAGCCAATGGCTAAGCAAGTTAGAAGAAATTCTTTCCCAATCACAGCTTAGCAACTGGAACTTGAATGAGTTTATGAGCCCTGGGTTTTGCTTTCATACAAATGACTGAGTTGCACGGAATGGCTCTTTCTCTCCTGTGGCCACGAACTGATTAACACTGATGTTACACTCCTAAAAGGAGCAAGGAAACCTAAAAGGTCTAATTGCACAGGCGGAGTCACAGGGTGACTGCTGACAGGAAGGTTTTTGCCCAACTGGCATATGGTTAATTCTTTAGAATTTCTCTCCCAACTCAACTGGGATTTCCACTCAGTCTGTGGAAGTGCCACTGTTAGAACCCCCATGCTATTTTCTATCTAGGTGACTGAATCAGCAGCTGAACTTCTGACCTCATGGCCCCTTTTTATAGTCTCCAAGGGAAACTGGATGCCTTTGTTGAACATTTTTCACCCAAGTATCTTGTATGTGAGTAGAAGGGGAGAGGATAAAGGAGGAAATCTCTGGAATGTTTTAATTATATACCCATACACGCACCACTGTAGTCTGCTGAATAAATAAGGCAAGGCGAATGACATGACATTTAATAACCTTGTAGGAAAAAACAGACTTTATCTCTTGTTTTTAATTATTATAGCATTCTATACACTGACACAGAGGTAAAAGAAAATGACTGAAACTTAAATGTGAAAACTCTTTACAAGTCAATCCACAACTTTATACATTTATCTTACTCACATGTCAGTGAAAAGTCACCAACTACTATGAAATCAGGATAACTTATAGCACAAAAGAATCAAAAATAGAAAAACTTTCATTAAAAAATACATCCAACTATGAAAAGAACTGCTCCTTGGTGTCTTCACATCCTTCTCTTCTGCGTACTTATGTATAACACTGAAAAGACAAAAATAAATATTTAGCAACTGCTGTTAAGTATCGTAATAGCAAGTTTTAAAAGCAAATTTTGGCTTGACACCTCTGCAAATTTAAAAGGAATGCTCACAACATACAATTAATTCAGGAACAACTACACAACTTGTTTTATGAGTCTAGACCTGGGTTTGATTTCTTATATGACTGCAACTAATCTTTTCCATCCACTGATTGACTTCACAAATTGTGGCCAGAATGATAAACAGGAAAGTCCCTTAACTATAAGACTTGTTCATTAGTAACTATGCAGATCCCCTCAGCAGGAGTCACATAATCCAGAGATACTGCCTTTTGCCAGGCGTTGATATGAGACTACTCTATCATTAAAAGTACAATAATGGTACTTTTATTATCAAAGTAAATCTACCAGGCTAGATTTCAGATTAGGAATAGTGTTTTTACCCATCTCTCCAACATAATTGTAAACCTGCTGCTCACCTTTTCAATTGCACCAGGATCAACAAAAGCTGAGTTTTTGTTGTTGTTGTTGCTTTTCCAGGCATCAAAGTCCTTAGTCTGAGTTACCTGACAGAGACTCAACCTTTGGTATTATCCAGTTTTGCTTTGCTAGTCTTGTCATGACCACCAAACAGAACTCAGTGGGGTATGTCGTATGTGAGAATAAGACAAAACTGGATGATGGGTCACTGGCCAAGCTGTCACCAGAGGTACATTCCTTCCCTAATCCCCACCATGAGTATTCAGATTCTGACAGGTTTGTTCAAAGTGAACATTAATGGATGTCTTGGCCAAAGAAAACAGCTCAGATTCATCAATTAAGTCAGGATTCTTCTTAGGAGCTGAAGAGGTAATCCAAAGATAACAACTGCATTATAGAAAAGGCCATATGAAGGCAAGCACTGAATGCCACAAAAACACCTCTGGGGAAACTGGACAAGTCTTAGGTACGAGGAGCAAGTGAAAGGCTCCACCTGTCATCACTCACAGAACGTCCCATGGACTGTTGCTATCAGCTGTCTTAAGGCAAGATCATAACACTTCTTAGTAAAAAGAACACGAAAAATAGGAGAAGAAATTCTACACCCTGGAAGCATCAAAGCATGTATATAAAGACATGATGCAGAAATGTGGTCCTGCAAAGATAGAGGATAGAGTATCTACTATACGACTCAGGAAATTTCACCCATAGCACAGAGATCCAACTGCTAAGGGAGGCAAAGATCTCCTTGCCAAGAAGCAAAGAAATCAAGAAAAAAATCTGAACTAAAGAACCTGAGAGCTCCATTTGGGGAACAGGACCAAAATGTGGGATTTGGTCAAGGGATAAATGCCATAATTCAATTTCTTCCACTTCCTGCCAAAAATTCAAACATGACTTCACTGGATAAGTTAACTTGTGTTTTGAAATGAAGTACTTAAAAATAACCATAGTAATCATAGCAATATATTAGCAATTAAAAAGCTGAGTACTTCAGAACCATATTTCCTATTTTTCCATTTTTGCCCGACTTAAGGTACAAACCTCTACAAAAAGCATGTGAATGCTTTATAGAAAAAGGTCAAATAGGATAAGCTAAGCACCAAATTATGTAAACTCAACAGAGCAGGGAAACAGCACCCGTTCTTACAGCTCCAACTTCCAGACTGTGAGAAGCAAGAATATGTGTTGGGGGAATATAAATATATGGGAGAGAATGGGGTTCCGGGTCAGTATACCAACATCCCTCATCAGCAAGAGAGGGAGAAAAGAATTTCTAGTTCCACAATTCCATGATGCACCTAAAAAAAGAACTGGCAACACTGAAAATCCAAGACTCACAATCATTTAAAAAGAAAAAAAAAAAAATCTAAAACTCAACCTTCAAATGATCTAGAAAACCCCCTAGTACTCCTGATTATAAACATTTGAAATAAAAGGCTTATTTCAAATGCTGTAGAACTGTAGAGTGAAGAAATATTACCATTGTTTCCTCGGATAAATGCATCCCCATACTTATTCTTCAGCTGTCCATTAACATATTCTTCTGTCTGCTCCAGGGCTATGTTCATGTAGCCATCCAGGCAAGCTAAGACCCCTAGAGACAGAACGAGTCAAAAACAAGATATACAAAGTAAGTAAGAGTTGAAAATTATAGGGCATATCTTAGAACTGACAATTTCTTTATTCAATAGTCCTTAAATGCATAATATAAAAATCCACACTGATAACAAAACCCAATAGACTTAATCACAAAACAAGCCTTTATTCTATGGCACTCTGAACGAAGGCTAGGAAGTGCATAATGTGAACATGGTCACACATCACCACTACAGGACAAGCAACAAACTGTCACTTCCCTCCTGGAATGCATGATCACCACAGCAACTTTAAAAGCCTTCACAAAAGTAACAGAATAAGAATATTCCAACTAAAATGCCATTCTCTGGACGCCAAAGAAAGGAGTGGGCAATTATGCATGGACAAATGATCCTCGGTTCCAGTGGCATTTCTTACTTTAGCCACTAAGTGAAATACGGGTCTGGCAGATTTATTTCACTCTTTCACAACATCTACTGCAGCAGATGAATGTACTCCAGGGTTAAGAGGAAGTCTCCACAATCTGTTAAAATAATAGAAGAGGAGACAGCAGGTGCTCCTGAAAGAACATCTCAAAGCTGTGACTCACACTGAAGAGCAGCTTGAGAATACAGGGCAACATATTGCATTATAACACATCCCATTCTGTTTTGTTACAGTTATAATATTTTCAAATCAAAACTAATAAGAGAAAAACAGCTAAAAACATTCTAGGGAGCTTTCAAGGAAACAGTGTGAGTGAATCACTTTAATTGTGTTAAGACAGTATAAATTTTGCAAAATTTGACCAGATGATTTGTTTTCAAAGGCTGAAAATCTGTAAGCCTCTAACTCTCAGCATCTAATTTAAAGTGCTATTTTCTAGGGAAAAAAAAGAAAGAAAGAAAGAAAATAAAGCAAAACCACACACTACAGATTCAATTTGATTAACCAAGTCAACAGTTTCATTTAAAGTCTTAACTTCATTAATATGCACCTCACTCTCTGCTTCTGCCCCCATTATCCTCCACACAAAAAAGTTTCTTTTCAAAATTGTGTGTGTGTAACGAGAGCACAGACATTAACCTAAGGGAATTCGGAGAGAGGCTGTAAACTTTCAAAGAACCAGAATGGACTGTGAACTATTAAGAACAATTATTTCCCAGCAAAAGAAAGCTTAAGACACAACTTTGCAGTCTGGTTCCTGCTGGACTAGATTACATCCAAATCACAATCCTAAATGAGCAGGAAATGTCTAAGATATGATATGCAACTATGAATAAAAGCTAAACAAAATGATTATTTCAAGATGCAAGGTTTACTTCTAATGGGAGTATCTATTTTCGAAGCAAAAGTTAAAAAACAAACAAACAAAAAAACCTGCTCAGGAGGTTAGAGTTATAGTCCCCTTCCTTCTCCAGGAGATTAAAAAGTACTACAAAATAATAGGAAACAATGTTTTCTTCAACATTAAAGAGAAAGAAACTCTGTCAGAAAGTTACGATTTCTTTTGGGGGGGGGTACTGGAGATTGAACCCAGGGGCACTTTGCCCCTGAGTTTCATCCCTAGTCTTATTTATTTATTTAATTTTGAGACAAGGTCTTGCTAAGTTGCTGAGGCCAGCCTTAAACTTGTGATCGATCCTCCCACCTCAGCCTCCTGAGTCACTAGATTACAGGAGTGCGTCACTACATCAGGCTTTTTTTTTTTTTTTTAATTATTTGTGGTTAAATAATAAGCACATTCTTTTAGTAAGGCCCCCTACATAGTGTAAAATATTTTGCTTTAAGAACACAGAGATCATGGACAGACAATCATAAATGAAGAAAAATGTATGGTTATTTCCCATGCAAAAGGCTGTTTGGTCTTGTTAATAAACAAAGAAAATACAAACAAAATTAAATATCACTTGCTGCTACTTAGATTGGAAAAGAAAAACAAAAGCTCATAAAGGCTCTGAGAACATAGAGAAGAAAAAATGTGGGACCTAACGGAGGACCAGCCACCTGGCAAACTCAAAAATCCCAGCCTAGGAGATTTATCCAGAAAGACACTACACACTCAAGATGTGCTAAAAAAGCAGTTGCTTTTAATGGCAAAAATTTGATAAATAAATCTCAGTGGTCATTAAAGGAAATCAAGTAAAATCAAAACTGGTATAGTCACATGAGGGATTCCTATGTAGCCTCTAGAATTTTTTCCATACTGTCACAGAACTAAATGTGTTAAATAAATAAATCAGGGTCATGTGCAGTTGCTTCCATTTATGTAAAATAATATACAGAGAGATAAAAATTGGGAAGGCAGATTATCTCTGGATGGTAGAAATTGAGGAGATTTTGTTTTCTTTACTTTTTCTCCATGATTTGTTTTTAAATTCTTTCTTTCTTTTCTTTTTTTTTTTCATTACTAGAGATTGAATGCATGGATGCTCTTCTACTGACATGTCCCCAGCCTTTTTAAATTTTTTATTTTGAAAGAGGATCTAAGTTGCCCAAGCTAGCCTCAGATTTGTGTTCTTTCTGCCTCAGCCTCCCAAATCTGTGGGATTACAGGTGTGTGCAACAGTACCTAGCTCTATTTGTTTTTAAATTTCTAAAAGTAAAACTAAAACATGTATTACACCTTTATAAATATTTTCCTTAAAGAATACAGAGGAAACAAGGTTAAGAAGACTGATGTCTTCAATAAAATGTCTTCAAAAATGTCCCCACCCTAATCAACAGTCAAATATACTCAAACCTGAAAAATCTATTGATCACTTTATTACCTCCATAGGGCTCATCAATAAGTCCATGGGTGAAAAGCAATATACAGAGACTTTATAATTTCTCAGTAACTGGTATAAATCCACTAGTTATAATACAAAAATCAAATTAAATTAGTCATTAATGTCAACAAATAAAGCAAGCTGGGCATGTCATGTGCCTGTAGTCCCAGACAGTCAGGAGGCTCAGATGGGAAGATCACTTGAGCTCAGGAGTTCAAGATCAGCCTAGGCAACAAAACAAAAACAAAGAAAGAAAAAGAACAAAGGAAGGGAAAAAGCAGTAAAGCAGTGCCTTCTTAACAAGGTTCCTGACTTAAGCCTGAGTTTGAGTCCCAGCTCCCCCTTTCTATGTGGGTATAATCAAAAGAGACCTCAAAGGATTCATGTTCGGATAAAATGAAAATGTGTTAAAAAGACCAACACACTGACATGTAGTAAGTTCTCAACAAAATGATGTCTGCATGTGCAAAAAGAGAAAGCTCAAGAGATTACCATCATTAATTATCTAGAAGAGACCAAGGCCACAAAACTTTGCTAATGAATTAACCATCTATACTTGTGAAATATTCTAAGTAATTTCATGTATCTTAACTTTGCAAGATTTGGGGTTTAGCAATTTTTTAAAATGAAATTTGGTATCATTCCTTCAGCAAAGTTAATTTCAGAGCCTCTTAAAGAGTATGCTCTACAAGAACAGAAAGGCACCACCCAATACCCCACACATCATATGATTGGGAAAGTCAGTCTATAAAATGATGCTGCTCAACAGCCGCCTGCCAATCTGGAATACTTCTGCAAAAACAAAGGCTGCTGCACGAAGGCGTTCTTCACTACTCAGTTATTCCTATCTGAGTTGACTGTGAGTCCCTGGCTCCCACTAGGGAACTTTGGTATGTATCATCTCCAAAAGGAGACAGAGTTCACACAACTAACAGTGGAAGTCAGAAGAACACACTTTGCTGTTAGATTTTTCTCTCTAAAAGGAACCATCTCAGAGGTACAAAGAGGAAGAAAAAGAGCTGGACATAAAAAATGTTGATGATCAATGCTTTTTTGGTCTACTGGGTACCCTGAGTAAGTCACATTGGCTTATTTAGTTACACCAGTGAGGATAAAACATGAAAATATTACCTCGATAATCCACTCCAGAATTTAATTTTACCACAACTGGCCGTCCGATGATTTGCTTTAAGAAGTCACTAGGGGTTTGCTTCCGCAGACTCATTTTAACAATCCTGATTAGAAATATGAAAGGAAGCAATAAATGTAATGACAAAAGTTAATTATTCAACCAAAAAAACCTTGAAGCTAGGAAACTGAGTAGCTAAGGACCACGTATTATTCCACTGCTACTACTACATGATCACTAACAAGTTGTCAGTGCTTACTATGAAGCCAAGTGTTTTACATGCATTATTTCATGCAGGTCCTCACAACATGGTTTCATGGCAGGGCCTCAATAGAGCGCTCTGTATTCACAGAGCAGCTACTCCTTGTCACCTGTCACTGCTATCTCACACACAGCATACCCATTACAACCACTACTACACTCACCATTTAATGAACACATATTTTATGCTGAGCATTCTATCAACATCTTTAAAAGCACTATCAAATTTAATCTTTACAGGAACCTCAGGGAGAAGGTCTTTCTATCCCCATTTTGCTGATGAAAATAAAGATACTGAAAGAGTAAATAATTTTCCTCTAATGTGATAAAACCAAAATATGATGAAACAGTCAAGTTCTAACTAGTCTCATTTTAAAATCTTCTCTATATACAAAGGCACATTATGAACAACTGATGTCTAAACAGTACCTATGAGGATAATTATTATAATCGTTACTGAAAACTAATAACTGAGTATACTACTCAAATTGGTTTTTTGTTTTCAATCAAAATAGTCAAACATTTTACTTCCAGTAAAATCACCCAATGATCTGATTCGAGTTCAGGATCATTGTTTGAGATGTTCTTAAAGTGAATCTGTGTATCTAAGCAGTTTGGTAAGCTGAAATGCCAGAAACCAGTTTTCATTGGTTCAACAAATAATCATATGCAAACACTGTGCAAGAAATTCAAATATACATCACACACAGAAGCTGTGACCTTAGGACCTGAGAACCTAGAAGAATCATCCAAACGCTTGTTGAAGGGTCATAAGTAAATAAGTGATCACATTTTAGGTAAAATAATTTTCTCTTAACAGGAAAAGCCAACACCTAGGTTAAATAAAATACAAATTTAATAACTATCATTTGGACCATCCACAGTACCCACCTACAAGGATGGTAATATTTTTTTAAAAATATGATCAAGTAACTATTTTGTTCAGCAAGATTCAACTTTGCCACTGAATTGCCAGCTCATTTTTTTAAAGCAGCACAGCCTCAATAGATAACTAAAATTACAACAACAACTACTTAGACCACATAGCAATTTTATTTATGTGTTTTGAGTGCAAAGAGAAAAATTACAAAGTAAATACTGTAACACATTCAGTACCTTTAATGAGTTTAGTAAAAACAAACAAATGTTCTCATTCATCTATAAACTATCTATTTATGTCCCACATATTTACCGTTTTATGGCTAAACAACGATACTCATCTCATCTCATCTCATGAATCTTAGAATCATTTCCTATTGCAGATGTCAAATCCCATTATGCCAGTTTCTTCATGTACAAAATCGAGATAAGATCAGCTGTCTATTTAGCATTTAAAAAAAACACGAAAATACACTGTGATGGGAAAACCTAGTTCACAGGTTTAAGTGTAAGGGATTAATTAATTATTAGTAATTTCACCTATTCCTAAGTATTTACAATTTAGGATGAAAAACACTTGAAAAGCAAAAAGTGAGAAGCAGAGTTAAAAGTTAATGTTGGAAGAGAATACAAACCCAGATGACCAGTTGCTTGACATTATCCCTTAAAGGCATTAACTTTCTGTATCATAAAAAACAAAACAAACAAACAAACAAACAAAAACACAGATATGTTCTAAGCTCTCCAAAGGAAACACCTCCATTAAGCCTCAATTTTAGTCCAGTTAATATCAATCTCTTCCTGAAGGCAATCAAGCACTGAAACTCTCATGGAGCAGCAACAAAGTATCAGACACACAGGCTGGAGATGCAACCGCAGCCCTTGGCCCTTGGAGTTATACTCCAGAGGGAGGTTAAAAAAAAAAAAAAATCAATGGAGATTATTACAAAGGCTGCATGCAATTGGGTAGAATATTTATGTATAGAGAAGGAAGTAGGCAAGATAGATCAGAGGATTTCTGAGGTAACACCTGAGCTGAGTGTGAGGGAAATGGAGTGCACCAGCTGAAAGGAGAGAAGTCTCAGCAAAGGCACTGGATGACTGGATGGTGGGTTTGGATTTGAAGGTCACATCTACACAGGCAAGGAGGACACAGCTACATTCGTTTGTGGGGATCATAAGCTTGAGCCTCTGAGTCACTTTAAGATTCCTATCGGTGGTTCTAGAGAAGGACTCAGGGTCTGTTCGCACAATCCTAGGAGACTGGCATGAACTGGCAAGCGTGGGAAATACTGTCGTCAAAGACAGGGAACAGGGAGGATTCTAAGCAGAATTGCCTGATTCCACTTTCTGCTTTAAGCTGCGGAAGAGAGCAGGCCATCTCAGTTTTGGTGTCTTGGTTTGGCATTTGGGATGTATGTAATACAACCTGGAACTATTTACTTTTTTCACATTATTTACTTTTTTTTTTTTTTAAACAGGTCTTTTCTCATTCAAAAACCCATAAGCCACATGAAAGGAGGGGCTGGTAACAAGCTTCTCATTTGTTTCCTAGAATATCTACATTCTGTTAGAACTCTTGAAAAAAATAATATTTTAAAAGTTATTTGGAAAGACTATGGTTGCCTCAAACACATTTTATCCATCACTTTAGTAGAGCCATATCTTTTACATTAGTCTTCATTAGGCCTCCTTGGTACTCCCTGTTACTTAATGACTTGCCCATAAATCCATTTTGTATGAGTAAATTGGTCTTGACACCACAATTTTTCCCATCACTTGGCTCAAGTAATTTTAAGTTTTCATCTTTTAAATTGGATAAGGCAGAAAGAACGGTTCTGACAATTTCTGAAGCAAGAGATAAGACTCCTGAACCATAAACACGTAAGAGGAAAAAGACCTCCTTTCTGCAGGGTCACCTTGGTAAAACTTCTCCCTTCAAAATTAAAGCCATCATCACCTTCTAGGACTCCTATCCCTCCCCTGACTCCTACTCAGGCTTGTTTTAAATGACCTATGTTCATAAATGGCTATTAAGTCAAAGGCAGTGTACTTTCTGTCAGAAGCCACAGAAAGGTCTATCGAGTATGAGGACATCTGCATACTGCTCTGTAGAGGTTTTATTTGTTTGCTTTTTTTGGTAAAAGAATCAGGGGGAGAGGGATCAAACTTCATTCATCCAATGATGTGCTTATGGATTCATAAGCAATTCACACAGAAACCCTGTGAAGTGGATGATGAACCAAGCCTTGACCCCCAAAGCTCAAACCTTTTCAAAAGTACATGCTGTCCGTCGCCTTTTTGAATACGCCAAGATTCCCCTATTAAACCCGTGGAATGGCCGTGGAGACATGTAGATCTTATTGGATAAGAGTAACAAGGAGGGAAAATTACCCAGTGACAAAGTACTGTAAATTTCCTGCAAAGAAATATAATAGCTGAGTGGAAAGAGATTTGATGTGATTTTGAGTTATGCTATTGAACAGAAAACCTGGAAGTCCTTAATTCTTGGCAGTGTTTTCCTATAAACCTTTACTTATGCCTAGTGTTTACAGTTTAGGGTGGAAAAAGAAAACCTGAAAAGCAAAAATTTGCATGGAAACGTAAGTTGTAATGTTATAAACTAAATGCAGCATCATACAAAACTGTCAAAGTCTGAGGAGGGTGCCCCACTGAGAACAGCTCTCCACACAGCACCCTACTGAGACAGAGGAGTGCCTGCTTTTCTGAAGAATTCATACCAGTCCTTCCACCCCAAGCACAGGATTACTGTCTCCTCTCTCCAAGGGCCAAGAGAGTCCCCTCAGAGCACCTCTTTCCATTGTCAGTCACCACCCTTCTCAGCTAGTTGCCCTTCTCAGGCCATTTTGTCATTTTCCCATTTGCCAATCAATCTCCCACAGTAGATTCTAACAGCTCAGGGACAGAGAAGGCATCTTCCTCATTTGGTATCCTGGTTACCTGAGCAGACTGCCTGAGTCTGTGGAAGAGACATTTAAGACCAGTGCCAAGCAAAAACCCTGTCTCATTCTCTCCCCAACCCCACCACTCAAACTACAGGTTCAGAGGCTAGTAACTATCATTTATGTACTTCAGCAGTTACCAACTTAGAAATGTCTCTGTTGTTGAGCACCAAGTAAGAGAAAGAGAAGGGAAAATAGGAAAATTTCTGTGTTATTGAAGAAAGAGAGACATCCAAGTCTACAGAGATGCTTGTTAAAAATGCAGAGTCCTGAAGCCTACCTCAAGCAAAAGGTAGTTACTTACTTGTAAATTACTGTAATTTACAATTTTTCAAGTTCCCCAGATCATTCTTATAATCCACTGATTCTCAGCTAGGGGTGACTTTGCACACTACTGTCAGGGACATTTAAAAATGTCTGGATGGACTGGGGTTGTGGCTCAGTGGCAGAGCGCTTGCCTAACATGTGTGAGGCACTGAGTTTGATTCTCAGCAGCACATATAAATAAATAAATAAAATAAAGGTCTATCAACAACTGAAAAAAACATATTTTTAAAAAATGAAGATTCTCATGTCTGAGGGTGGTGCTAGTGGTATCTGGTAGATAGAGGACACAGATGTTGCTAAATATCCTACAATGCATAGGAAAGCCCTCCATAATAAAGGCTTATCTAGACCAAAATGTCAATTGACAAAACTTGCTAACTAAAATAAAAAACATTGTTCTCTGGACTTAAAGCAAAAAGGAGTTTAAAAGAAATCTTTGAGCCAGGCACTGTAGTGTGTGCCTATAGTTCTAGCTATTCACTGAGGCAGGACGATCACTTGAGTCCATGAGTTTGAGACTAGTCTGGGTAATAAGTGATACCCTTTCTCCAAAAAAAAAAGAAAGAAAATAAAAGAAGTCTAAGAAATGAGAACCAATAATTATGTCCTAGCCAACTAATGGATTATAAAATAATTAGCTCTCCATATCGTGTGATTTTCATGGATCACAATACTAAAAAAAAAAAAAAAAAAAATCCAGTTAGACCTATACTGGTTATATATAAAGTCAACATGACTTTTGACGTTATTTCCTAAACAATCCAAAAGAACTATTTACGTTGTGTTAAGTAATCCAGAAATGATTTAAAGTTATAGGGGAGGATACACATAGGTTATAGACAAATACTATGATGTTTACATAAGGAACTTGAACAGGCATGGATTTTAGTTCTGCAGGTGTCCTGGAACCAATCCCTCTCAGACACTAAGGGACAACTGCATAGCTTACTAGGAATATTTTATTCTAATGTATAGAGAATCTGAAAGCAACTGAAAAAAATCCTGAAGGGAACTGCCTTTCTAAATAATGGGTTTCTAGTCCTAGCCATGGAAGTGGTCACTTTCCCATTTTTCAGTATTATAATCTCTTCAGACAATTAAACTCTGTTACTAGGTAAAATTCTAGAAGGAAAGAATAATGCAGATGATGTAAAATTAAAATTCTCTTCTATGCCACATTTAGTGAGAGAGCATCTTGATGCAGATAAGGGTACTCACTTGGGAGGCAGGAAACCTGAATTCTAATCCCATCTCTGCTATTTAATTAGCTGTGTGACTTGGGTAACTCATCACTCCACCACTCAGGCCCCAGGTTCCTCATCTGCAAAATAAGGCAGTTATGCTAGATGACCACTGAAGTCTCTTCTGCTCTAACATCCAATTAGTCTATGTCATAACTCTACTAATACACACACAGACACACACACACACACACACACACACACACACACACACTCTCTCTCTTTCTCTCTCTCTCTCTCCCCTCTCTCTCCTGAAGATTCCTGCAAAAAAATTTTAGCAAGCACAATCGCTAGGCATCACTATTAATAATAAAATTGCAAAAAGAGGCTTTGCTAGTTGATGTGTTAAGAAATATACCATACAGTCATACCTGAATGATATCAACTACTAACACTTGATTGAAAAAAAAAATTGGCAATGTTTATGAAGACCTTAAAAAGACTCTGTTAGAACACAGCATCTGATGATTTAACTTCTGAGAATTTACTCCATGGAAATAATTTTCAGTACAGTTGAGGGGTAAAAAGTTTATCAAAGTATCATCTGAATGTATTATCTGACGCTGAAATGGAGCAAAAACTCAAAAACAATCCAAATGCCTCACAGTCAGGGAAACAACTGAATAACTGATGGGACCCACGAAATGATAAAGTAGCCAGCCAATCAAAAGAAGAAGTGGAATCAGAGATGATACTTAGGAAAGGTTTTTCAATGAAAGTGGAAAACTAAATATACTGTTAAGTGATAAAAATATGCAGAGTCTTAGCTAAAGTTGAAATTAGCACATACAAAAGAAAAAGTGGGTGTAGGTTGAGGGGTTTCGTGCATATTATTTTCTTTACCAAAGACTGTATTTTCAATTTTTTTTTCCTACAATAGTCATGCATTAGTTACTACGGAGAAGAGTGAGGAGGACATTAAGTCACCACCAACATGAAACGCACCATCTTAATCCTAGACACCCTAAATAAAACACCCTATGCACACGCGCACAAGGACACAGAAAACTCCAGGTGACAGGACTTCACACCGTGCAAAAAAAATCGTGAGGCTCCTGACTTGACAACTCGGTGGATGGGCCAGACGAGCTCTTAATTCCTGGGGCTAGGCACAGTGACCCAGGCCCCGCAACTCCCTGCAGCCCAGGGAAGCGGGCGAAGCTGGGCCTGGGTTTGGGTCCTCTTTCCCGCCATACCCCGGGTTCCCAACCGGGGCGGCCCGGGAACCAACCCCGAGCCGGCCGGGACCGCGCCGCTCCTCCAACCAGAAACCTCGTGGCCACACCAGGCGCCCAGGAGAGAACGCGGCGGGGCTCGTCGCGGGGACCCGACACCCCCGGGCGCCGCCGGGGCCCGCTCCCCAGGCCCTTTCCGGGGCGGCCCGGCCCGGTCCGGTCGCTGCAGTCGCCGCCCGGCGCGACACAATACTGGGGCCTCCGACCCAGGGCTGCACGCGACCCCGTCCTCGGCCCGCGAGGCCGCCGGGCTCACCTAGAAGCCGGGATCCAGAACTCTCACTCCCCGCGCCCCACGAACCCGGCCTCCGCGGACAATCCGAGCGAAAACCGAAACCGCCGAGGCAGCGGCACTTTTCTGCCTCAGCCAATCAGTGCTGTCCTCTACTACGGCAGCTCGCGGGGACCGAAAAGCCCGAGCGGGCCGGAGCGCGCCAATCCAAGTACTCTTGTTCAGTGGCAACTTTGGTGCCATAGGGTTCGAGTAGTAAGAACTGGCCTTCTCTCTTCTAGTAGAGAGCCGAGTGCAAAAACCGAAATAAAATTATGAAACAAACTGGAAGTGATCTTTTGGATAAGATTTCTTAACAGAAGTGTAAGAAATAGTAAGGCATAAGAAACTGAAATGCATTCTTAAATAATGGACTGGTATGTACCCAGAAATGTCCTTGCGTCATTTAAAGCAAACACATAAAACAACCTCAAGTCTTTAAATACACCTTTGAATGTTAATTAAATATATGAAGGCTCAGACACTATTAACAAGAGACTGTTTCAATGGGAATGTTAGATGCTACAAAAAAATTAAAGTCACTAAAACAACTGAATTATAAATGTTACAAGTTGTAATGCATTACAAAATAGTTCCAGTTGAAAATAGTATGCATACCAGTGTAACTCTACATCGTGCACAACCACAAGAATGGGAAGTTATACTCCATGTCTGTGTAACTTGTCACGTATATCTGAAAAGAACAAATAAAAAAATAAAATTCAATTTTAAAAATAAAATGATATGCAGATATCATTTAATTGCTACTATGGGAACTTGGTTTGGAATTTTGCATGAATTCTCTATAGTGTAGCTATTAATGGGAAGGGAGAGGAAAAAAGAAAACTATTCCCTACACACAAATCCTCATCAGCCTAAAATTTACACTTTAATTCTATTTATGATATAAAACACTATAAACAAAGTGATAATAGCTTCAAACAACAGATCCTTAACCCTGGTAAAAGTTATAGAATTTAAGGTGCAGAATTTTTCTCGGATGAAAAAATGGGTTCCCCTTTTTTAAGTCTAACGGCAAAAGAAAGGAAACTTTGGTTGATATTATGGAAAGAGAACAACTAGTTCAGACCAAAAAGTTACAGATTTATTGGAAGGTCTGTATTTGAAGTTCTTGCAATATAAAATCGAATGTAAATAAAAAATTTAAGTAAAGTACTATTTAAATCAAATAGCTAGCTGCAAGGAACAAATATGGTACCATATAAAACCCTGTCCCTAAAAACTTTCTTCATAAATGAAGTCAAATTGCACCACATTCCTCACTGATTGTTTTCATTATTCAAAAAAGTGTTTGACTCAAAGCTGCTTTCCCTCTGCCCTAGTCCTCTGGGAGCTATGAAGCCTGGTGCGGTGGGAAGGAGCAGAGGGGCATTCTCAGGACTTGGTTCATCTGCAGAACAGCTGCCACCTTCTCCAAGGGACACAGATTTGTAAAGTCTCAACTAGACAAATAGTTTGGGCCAACAAACATATAAAAAGTGTGGTTGGTCCCAGAAACCCCTGAGCAGCTGAGATTTGGCCTTTACTTACTTGCAGGCAACTTTCCATTTGCCACATTTTTTTTTCACCCTCTTTTATTATACGAAGAAAACATGTGCAAAACTTTTTTAGCATTAGTTCAAAAACTTGTCTTTAAAACCCTGTACATAAGCCTTGCATTATTAAGGAGACTTAAAGTCATAAAAAATGATTTGGAAAGACTGGGTTTAATTCACATAGTTTAGTCTGGTTGCTACAATTAGTGAATTTACAGTGGTATGTCATTATCATCCAAAGTCCATAGTTTACATTAGGGTTATATATTATGTGGGTTCTGATAAATGCATAATGATGTGTATCCACAAATAGTTTCACTGCCTCCCCAGATTCTCTGTGCTCCACCTATCCAGCTCTTCCTCCCCACTAACCCATGGCAACCACTGATCTTTTTACTCTTTTTCCCTTTTCCAGAATATTGTATAGTTGGAATCATGCCATACAGAGTTGGTGGCACACCACTGCATTGTCCCTTCTCTGTAGCCCTTTCAGGTTGATTTCCTTCACTTAGTAAGATGCATTTAAGAATCCTCCATGTCTTTTCATGGCATGACCACTCATTGAAGTGCTTTATAATATTCCATTGTCTTGAAGTGCCACCATTTACTTATTCATTCACTTACTCAAAGACATCTTGGTCGCTTGGAAGTTTTAGTAATAATAAATAAAGGTACTGCCAATAGGCAGGTTTTTGCATGAAATTAAGTCTTCAAACCATTTGGGCAAATGTCAAGGAGTATGATTGTGGTAAGAATATGCTTAATTTTGCAAGAAACTGCTAAGCTGTCTTCCAGTGTATCTGTATCATTTTGCATGCTCACCAAGCATGCTCCTAATTCTTACCAGCATTTGGTATTTCCAGTGTTTTTGATTTGAGGCCATTCTAATATGAGTGTAGTTGTATCTCATTGTTTTAAGTTGCAATTTCCTGATGACATGTGAAGTATCTTTTTGAATGCTTAGTTGACATCTGTATATCTTTGCTGAGATGTCTATTTTGGTCTTTGGTCCATATTTTAAATCAAATCATACTTTTGAATAACTATGTCTTTAAATGTTTTATGTTCATAAGAGAAGGTATCATGTCTAACTTATTTTCTAAAATACCAAGAGCTCTGTGAACATGTGAGCAATTCTATAAAGATGATGATGATGATATATAAAAACATAGAATTGGATTGGCCAACACTTTCCAAAGCAAATTTCAATACTCACCATCACTGTTAAGCTTCTAAGAATACTAGTTGGTCTCATTTGAGCAACGCATTAACTGGTGTGAGGTGCTGGTGTAGACCCAGACTTTTCCTTGACCTTCAGACTGGGCAACCAAAATACCTCAGCTTTGATGCTCTCATTTGGGTACTTAAGGCACTATTATCTACTGTTCCTCATGGGATGTGAAAATTACTTGCTAAAGAAAATGGGAAGAAAAACACTCTATGTTTGTTGAATATCTTGAGACATAATACAAACTTATTGGTTGATGGGAAAATTTCTCAGGAAAAGCAGGTCTTGTTTTTAATCCCAAGAAAGGCTATGATTCTACACCCTGGGTAAGTGGTTTCAGATACCGTATTGGAGATGTTGAAGTAAATGTTTGGACTCCATCAGCCACTATTTTGGTATGACTTGGATTTCTAGAGATGGGCTCAGGGTCTGAACCCCCAGGAACAAGGTCTCCCAAATGCTGCGACGTCCCCTGCTGCGTGGTGAACTACGGAAAACCTCTCTCAGCTGTAGAACTCAGTGAAATTGGTGTGAAGCTGCCCTTGTATTTTAATCAAGATGAACTTGAAAGGTGAACATTGTAAGTGGGAGAAATTATTTATAATTTGGTAATAAAAGTTTATGTCTAACACTCCAAATTTCATACATCTGCTATGCACGGCCCTGAGATATAAAACAATTGAAGTTGGCTTTACATTTGGCCTCATATGAAAGGTCATAAATTAGAATGATGGCGTTCGTCCTCTTTCCTAGCTCACAAAATTTCCATATTAACATCTTCACCTCAAACATAAATGGTTACCCAGCTACAAAGAAAAGAGTTGTATTGGCCTTTATGAATTATAGTTTATGTTGGAAATCTGTGGGTACATAAGGCAGCAATTCAGCTTGCAGTGGTGCATACCTACTTCAGTGAAGTTAATTCTACCACAGTGAAACTAATTAAAACCGTATGGTTAATTTAAATAAATAAAGTGCAATATATAAAAATTTAGGAATATTTTAGATATCAGCAAATGCTTGCCAAGGTATGTGATTCTTTTAACTCATAATGCATTTTTATATCTTCCAGGGATTTTCTTTGCTAGAAGACCTCTACTGAGTTTATTTAAAATTAAACTTGCTTTCAATTTTCAAAATGTCTCTTTCTAATGTGGTTTTAACTGATAATGTGAAAAATCTGACTTTTTTTAAACTACAAAACACATTTTATTATGATATATAATAACTAAATTCATTCCAAAATATTGATGAATTGGACCAGTACTTTAAGTTTAGACTTTTGAAAAATGTTTATAGCAAAAAAACCAGATGTCCTTAATTTTCCAGTGTGGAATATCAAATCCATATGGTTTTTTGGTGTAAGTTTCTTTCACCAGCCCATTGGTGTAGTTAAAATACAATATGTTATATACTCGCAGGGTCAAGTTCAAGAACAACTTTTGAATCTTAGGCCTTCATCCAGGCCTTTATGCAAAACTTTAAGAGAGAAAGTTAGTTCTCCGTAATTTTAAGCATTAGAATCCATTTACCAAATTCTGCATTAGAGAACACAATGTACTCAAAGTTACAAATATGATTGCATGTCTTAGTCTGTTCAGGCTGCTACGACAAAATACCTCTGACTGGATAATTTATAAACAACAGAATTTATAGCTCCGTTCTGGAGGCTGGGAAGTCAGATCAAGGCACCAGATAATTTGGTATCTGGCGAAGTCTTGTTCTCTGTGTCATGGATGGTGCCTTTTAGCTGCACTATGCAGAAAAGGGCGAGGGAACTCACTCAGGTCTTTCATAAAGGGCACTAATCCCATTGTTAGGGAGGAGCTCTCATGACTTAATCTCTTCCCAAGGCCCCACCTCTTAATACCATATCAGGAATGAGATTCCAGCATATAAAATCTGGGGGAAAACAACATTCAGATCATAAAATAGTATAAGCTCTTTTATCTCATCTTTGTTTTTTCCTAAGTAGTTGACTTTTTTTTTTTCCTCTCTGTTATCAGGACAACCAGATGTCTTTGTAGTCACTGAATTCCTTGAGCCAAAAAGTACACCCTTCATCACCTAAAACTCTCAGGGACAAAGATTAGAGTTGTTTCTGTTGGGATAAAATTTGCACGAATATCTGGATCTGTTTCTAGAAGATCATCCATCCATAGAAGGTGACCACTTGTCTCACAAACACAACATTGTGTCTGTTCATATTTTTCCCCCAAACAACTGGGATCCAGGTGAGGGTCATGCACACCTTTAGTCCTACCTACTTAGAATGCTAAGGCAGGAGGATCAATTGAGCCCAGGAGTTAAAGGCCAGTCTGGGCAACAAAGCAAGACACTGTCATTAAAAA